TAAACTGACTTCGTAAGAGTTGCCTTTGCTAGACTTTCTCTGCACATAAGCAGTTCTTCAGTCAATGCAGCTGAAGGCAAGACCCCACTAGGGCTTTCACTTGGGTCTATGTTAACACTGAACTCAACCAGGCTCTCTCCCCTGTCTTTGTCCTTCCTAATCACAGTAATGCTTCTTCAGCACCTGGCCAACAGGGCTGCATACAGAGATTTCCAGGTGAGGGACGGGAAGCACCATAAGGAGAGGCCGTGCACCTGGTACAGAGTGCAGTATTCCCTGGAAAAGGGGCATCCAGCAGATTACCTTGCCTTAGTCATGCACAGCTAGAAGCAGGCAAGTTATCAAGTCGCTTCCACAATTTTCAGACTACAGCTACTGCGTTAAGCTTGAAATAATCACCCCGGGTACATTTGGTAGAAAGATGTTTTATATTCTGGGTCTTGAAAGATGCAGTGCTACTAAAATCCCATCTGACCAACCTAGTGCAGCTCCACATGGTCAACTACTACTAACATTAAATTTTACAAATGCTTCTCAAAGTAGGCCCTGATATTTGACAGCCAAAACACCTTCCCCTACAAAGCCCGAAAGTGGAGTAACTTTGACTCCTGCTTATTTTACCTTTAAGGTATCCTGGCTTTCTAGGAACAAGCACCATGTGGACAGTGCACACAATTACACCTTTGCTGGATGCCCAGCCTCAAACCATCTCTTCCGTTGACCTCCTTCACTCTTGATTAAAATTAAGATAGACATCTCTCGGTTCCTTTCACAACTGCAATGCTTTTGCAGGGGAACCCAACCCTTGGACAGGCACTATGAAAATCACAGCAGCGGGATTCCTGGGCTGGTCTCATCATGCCACTACCAACACTCCAAAATCTGCCCCTCTCAGCCCAGATGAGAGGCTGCCCTTCCCTCTCAGCCTGTGTGCCAACCCTGCTTCCCAGAACTGGTGAAGTAAGGGAACCCCTCTAGGTGAGCCGCAAAGTGAGGAGTGCATGTGTGGTGGGGAAGGGGAGAGAAACAGTGGGAGAGAGAACAGGACAAAATTTAAAAAAAAAAAAAAAAAAAAAAGGAAAAGGAAGGAAGGAAAGCAAGAAAGAAGTGAGGCTGGCCTGTTTCTTTCTTCTCTACCATCTATTCAGTGGCAGCAGGGGAGGTCTACAACTGTTGTGTCATGTAAAGCACAAAAAAAAACTGACAAGCGTGCTTTAGCTGATGGAGACCAGAGTGGACAGGAGGCTGGTGACAGCTCAAATGCAGGGAGTAAGAGACCTCCACTTTAATTGCCTGTTTCTTACTATCTCATCAAACAAGCAGGAGCGTTAGAGCCTGGATGGGCTGCTCAAAACCACAAGAAATGGCAGAAATTTCAGTGTGTAAATACCTCAGCTAACTACCCAGGCTGGCAGAGATTCTCACTCCTGTCCAGGGATACCGAATTTTTAACCCTGCGTCATCCACAAAAGCCTATACCAAAGGGAACATGCAGAAGATGCTTTGAAATGGTGAAAGGAGGGAGGGGGGAAAGGGAAGTTAAACCACAGGCTGGGCAGGACCTGGAGAGGTGTTTATAAATAAAGCCACTAAAAATAATACACTGTGCACTTGCATCTCTAACATAGCATTTTCTTCTCCACAGAACTGTGACAATGGTTATCTCGGTGGTATAATTATCTAGATTTGATGACAGATTAAAAAAAATACATCTCTCAAACACCTGTTCAAGAGTTCTGTGTTTTTAAAGGCCATTGCCATTAACCTTGGGCCATGCACTTCATTGTGTTTAATTAGCAAGCTAATGAAGCCAGTTTTATTCCCCTTCTCAAGCACAAGAGGATAAATACAAGACAGTGAAAGAGGAGACCAGATCCATTTGCAGCACAGTTCATTGCTGCATGGCATTACTACTTGCACCAAAATAAAAGTAATGCAATAGCTGGGGAAAACATGTTAGCAATGCATTCTGCAAGACAAATCCTTTTACACCTTCTGTATTTTCTAAGGCTCATAGATTAAAACATGATTTCCGAACATTTGGGCTGCAGAAAAATTTGCAAACAAAGGGCTAAAAATGAACATAATGTTTTCCTCAATGAATCCTCAGTATTCCAAAAATTAAGCATAACAGATTTCTTTCTTTCTTTTTGGTTTGTTTTTTTTTCTGCAAAGAACAGCAGCCCGTGCTTGCTTTGTTACAGCCAGCCAAGGTAGCGATGAGAGAAGCATCAACAATGGAGGTCAAGCGATTTTCGAAAAGCCCACCACTTTCTCAGAGTCCTAACATGTACACACACACAAAAGCCATACTCCAAGCAAAGCCGGGTGCTACGAATCCCAGCAACACATTGCAACTGTGGGTATCTGAGGTTGTTTGTTTTTCTTCCCCTGACTGAACAGCTTTATGAAAAACTGGACAATGAAGATCACGTTGATAAATACTCATAAATAAAAGCTTTAAAAGAGAGGGAGGGATTTACAGAATTGCTAATGCACTGATTTAATGATTCCAGGGGACTTTTCCAAATAAACAGAATTATATTCATTTTCTAGGGTTTCTTTATTCTGTTTTCAGGGGGAGGAGAAAAAGTCAGTGTAGTGATGCCCTATCACATTATCCTTTTCGTAACATGATACATTTAAGAAGCTTTCAGGGTTAATTTTTTTAACGTAATCGTTTTTTCTCCTCCAACTTCCATTTCTGCCACTATATGCACACAGCCATAGGATCGGGTTAAAAAAAACAAAACCAAACCAAACAAAAACCCAACCCCACACCCAAAACAAAAACAAAATAACAAAACAAAACAAAAAAGCCCAACCCGGAAGCCATCTCTTTTATTGAATCACCCGAGATAAAAGGATTCCAAGATATATGGAAAGAAAATACATTGACCATAAATCTCCTTTATGCACATAATAGAATTTTCCAGCCAAGAGAGCTGTTGTGATGATAGCAACGGCGAGCACCACGAATACTGATGGCGCACACACACACACACACACACACACCCCCCGCCTGCTTCTTCCAAAATACCTGCTCTCCCTCAGCACTGCTATGTAAATACAAGACCGCACAACCCCCTTCCTAACACATGGAAACAAAGCTGCGTACAAGTGTCCCAGCGATCAGATAAAAAAGCCCAAGCTGGCTTTGCTCGCCATCAAATTAATTTTTTTTTAATTTATTTTTATTGCCCGCTCCCTTTTCATTGCCTTCCCCTCCCCGCCTCACACTTTCGGTGTGACTTAAAAAATAATTAAGCGATGGCAGTGTTTATAATGCCAAAGGCAGGCGGTGGCAGTGCATATTTAATGGGCACTCGGAACAAAGGAAGCCCGGCTGCAGGAGCGCCCCGGGGCCGGCCCCGCCGCCGCCCCCCCGGGCAGCCCCTTCCCCGGGCCGGGGGACACGGACACGCGGGGAACCCCTCCCACTCCCACCCACTTTGCAATACAATGAAGCCGCGATGGCAAAGCCGCCGGGAACTCCCCGGCTGCCCATCGCGGAGCAGGGAAAGGGCACGGCTGCAGCATCGCCGCCTCCCACACCCTGCCCCCGGGAAACCCTTGGCCACAAGCAGCACACCTCCCTGGCCACAAACAGCCCCCCCCACCCCACACATCCAACCACCACCCCCTCGCCCCGGGATGGGAAATGGAGGCACCGATACAAGTCACTGCCGAGAGCCGGGGCAGGGGGCTCAACCCCGGAGGGCGGGTGTCGAGGGGTGGTGGTGACCAGCAAGGGTGGGGAGGGGGGCCGGGGGGGGGGCAAAATTGCTGCCGCCGCGGTTTGTGCTGGGGAATGTGCATCAACAATAAAAAGGAACAGAAGGGGAAATAATCATAATTACAAAAATTAAAACAAGGAGGGAAAGTGGGGAGCGTGGGGTATTTCAAGCGTGCCCGCGTTTTCAGTGCTGGAGAGGGAAACAGGGGTTCTGACCTCTCCCGCCCACCCCCCCCTACCCACGCGAGGGCTGCGGGATGGGGCACCCCATGGAGAACCCCCCCGGAGCGCTGCCTGGGGCTCCCACAGCTCCCCCGGCAGTGCCCGGGCTTCCGGCTAACTTCCACCCCGCGCCCCCCGGCAAAACGCGCACCCCGCGGATTGGAGCCTAAGTTTGGGAGCCAGTCCAGTTCCACAAAATAAATGGGATGCAAAACACACTAAATAAACACAACCCCGCTGCAAAAGCCCCCTCCCGGCGGATGCTCCCCCAAGCACCCCCTTCCCACCGCGCACACCCCCTTTATCCCAACTTTCTCCCAGCTCCCCCCAGCGCCAGCCAGCCCCAAACGGCTCGTTTCGCGCTAACAGGCAAACCCCAGCGGAACCGCGGTAGCCCGGGGGGCTGTGAGGGAGGAAGGGGGGGGGTGTCCTCTGAGGACCAGGGGGAGACTCCTCTCCACCGCCCTTGGGTTACACACCCGTAGCCCGGCAGGAGCGGGCGCACACATGGCTACTACCTGAGCGGCCCCGCACCATTTCGGAGCAACCCCCAGGTCTCTTCCCGCTGCTCCCAACTTCTCCACACACGCACACGCACACACACACACGCACGACCCCCGCAACCTCTTCGGCTCCCCCCCTGCCCCACTCCGGCAGCACCCGCTCAGAAGTAAATGCCCGTTTTTGTAAAGTTTCCTCGATATCGCGCCGTGTTTACATTGCCATTAATTCCCACAGGCTGCCTGAAGGGAACAAAAAGCAGCAGCACGGGAAGGCTCGTCCTGCGAGCAGGGAGAATACGGAGGGGGGGGAGTGAGGTGGTGGAAAGCAAAAAGAAAGAAAACCAAACAAACCCCCCAATAATAATAAAGCAAATGAAGCAGACGGCAGCAGTGGGGCCATTCCCCAGCTCGCAGGCTCGCTGGTTGCTCTACTCTGTTTCGGAGGGTGGCTGCAAATAATTGCACGGCCCATTCAATTCTGCATTTGGAGAGGCGACCGTAAGCCCGAGCGGGAGGTAAACACACCGAAATGCACTTACCTGCACAGAAAGTTCCACAAAGCAAGGCGAAAGTCAGCCACGAAGCAATCATATTCCTTTACTTTTTTTTTTTTTTTCCTCCTCCTCGTGTGCCGCTCTATCCCCAAGGGAAGCAAAAATAAAAATACGAAGATCGAGAGAGTGAAAGAAGGGGGGAGACGCGAGGCTCTGCCCGCGCTCTCTCGCGCTTAAAAAAAATAAAAAAAAAAAAAAAAAAGCAATAGAAAAAAAAAAAGGGCAAAAACCCTGGGGGAGGGGGGAGGGACGTGGGGGGAGGGAGAGAGAGAAAAAAAAAAATCGGCTTTAATTCCTTCGCAGTTGCAAAATGTATCCAGTGGAGAGGAACAGCCCCGGACGGTTCGACCTGCTCCTGCCTGGCCCCGGCGTTCGCTCCGAGCTTTCCAAGAGTTTCTTTCCCTGGGCTTTTGTGCTGGGAGCTCGGCGTGCACCACACACTGACTCCCCCCTCCCCTCACCCCCTTCTTCTTCTCCTCCTCCTCCTCTTCCTCCTCCTCCTCCCAACCCAGCCCCTCCGGCTCCCCCAGCACTACGGGAGAGCGCGCACACGCGCGCGCGAGCGCACACACACCCCCCCCACCCCCCGCCTGTCCCCGTGGTGGTGCACGCGCAGACCCGTGCAAAGGCGCGCGGAATCTCCGCGTGCGCGCAACATGCGCACACGCACACGCACCCGCTCCGCTTCCCCGCGCAACGCAGACGCGCTCCCGGCGCCGGCAGCAAGCGGGACAGCAAGCGGCAGCGTCGGGACTTTGAGAGGTGACCGGCCCCGCGTCCAGCGCGGGCGCGGAGCGGCAGGCAAGAGCTCGCGGAGGAGCCGCGCAGCGCCGGCAGCGTGGTAGTGGTGATGATGGAGAGGGGGGAGCCGGTGGCGGCGGGCCGCGGCATCGCGGGCTGCGCGGGGCGCGAAGCGAGGGGGTGGCGGGCGCGGGCTGGGCCGGGAGTTGCCATGTACCGGGGGGGGGGGAATAAAAGGAAAGGAGGGAAAAGAAGCAGCAGCTGTGGGGAAAGGGGAGGTTTGTTGTGGTTTGTTGTTGTTGTTGTTGTTGTTGGAGGGGTTTTTAATAATTAAAAAAAAAAAAAAAAAAAAAAGCTGAACCGGTTCCAAAATGGCTCCTAAAAAAAAGAAGAAGCCAAAGCGGAGCCAGCGGGGAAACCCGGATGTTTGATACAAAGAGGCTGGAGCAGGGCGGAGCAGCGCGGGGGCTCCGCGGCCGCTGAGTGGGGAGCGGCGCTGCCCGTCACGGCCGCGCCCCGCAGAGCACCGCCCCCAGCGGGGAGGACCGGGGGGTTGGGGGGGGAAATGAGGAGGATGGGGTTGAAGGGTGAGGCTTCCTCTCCTCGTGCCTGGAGGAGAGAGGAGGACAGGAGGACCCCCTCGGGGGTGGGAATATACCCTGTCCTTATGGAATAATAATCCTTCTCTTCCAGGTTGGTGAGAATGTGTTTTCTCTACCCCGGAGCCCCCCGCACGCAAAAAACTCCCTTGACCCCCAGATCTTGCAGTAGCGATGGCTCAGGGACAGTGTCCAGGAGTGCCAGGGCGGAAGGGCCACCTCAGCAGAATCAATTCCCAGACTGTTTCAGGGTTAATAAGTTTTTCTTATTAGGAATTGAACTCTGTACACAACCTGTTTTAATGATAACTAAATAATATGGTATTAGGGAGCACCACAAGGGGAAGGAAGAGGAACGAAAGATGCTGGACTTGGGTCATTCCCAAGGCTTGGAGCCTGCAAGGTCCACTGACTCACTGGGGAAAAGGCTGCAGCACAGACGTGCAGCTCCCGCACACAGTGGTAAATCTCAGGTCACCTCCCTCCAGTTTGTGCTATGGGGAGTAAGGTTGAAAATGTTTCCAAAAGCATTTACTTTTTCCTCTGGAGGGAGAGAAGAGTAAAACTGAATAATTCCTTTTCAAAGTTTGAGAAGTGTTTTGTTTCAAGAAGAAATAAGTAGATTTATTTTTGCAGTAATGAGTTTGCAGGAAACTTCAGGAATCTTTTGTAAGGGCTTGTAGCGTCTTGGAAGCTGGAGTCTTTCTTTATATACATACAGCACTTGCATAACAACCTCTTAACTGTGAATGAGATTCCTAGGTGCAGTTGCAATAAACTGATTAATAGTATCATTCATGGTATCATACCTCATTCATATGTTCAGTGTAAGTAAAGAGGAATTACATTGGCAGGAGTATAGCGGTTGTGACTTCAAACACGATACTCTTGGGGGAAAAGTTACAGCTAAAGCATGCACCACTGGGCACTGCAATTGGTAAAGCTGCAAAAAATGCTCAAGAAAATAATTTTTGGAGTAAAAAGCAGCAAAAACAAGCTCACAGAGAGCTAGTGCTGGGCAGGTCTGTAGCACGGAAGAAGCAATGTGGGCAACGTTACCCAGTTAGTCAAACCAAGGATGGAAAATAAGGAGGCCTATCTGTCAGAGGGATTGGTCAGGGATGACCCCTATTTATGCATAAACAAGCACCCACAAGCAGGGTCGTTAGGTTTTTTAATCTGGAGACAGCAAGAACTGATTTTGTCACCAAACACTTGTGAGACAAATCACTGACAAGGACACACAGAAAGCAAAAGGGAATGGAAAATGGTTAAATGAGAAGGAATGTCTTTGCCATGGGGTACAGCTGCTTGGAATGCATTGGGATCCTCAAGAGAAGACACAAGTAATGGGTCAGTATTTCCTATATGGTTGCTTATTTCATTCAAAAGCAAATAATGGGTCATTGCTGTATATTTCATTCAATGAATAAGCTACCACATGGCTGAAGTATGGAGAAATGTGTGGGGCAATAAAAAGATCCAGTGTTTCACTGTACCGGCATCCCCACAGTTAGCTAAAATGAGACATTTAGTTCATACCGAGAAAATATTAGCTCTGGGGAGCAGGCAGCTTGGCTAACACAGTGATCGGTTGCGCTGTGTCCCTGCCCAAACCTAAATGCTCCCTGGCCAGCGCTGCTCCTATTTTTAATCTCTCTGCTATGAAAAGCCCTGTTCCACAGTACCTGAATTTGTGCTTTATAGGCAGAGACTTGGGAGCACGTTTATCACGTGCCTGTCATTGCTTTTGAGGAAATGGGTCCAGAGTGCTTGGGATGTTGTCTTGAAGCCACCCAATGAGATATGGCCCTTTGCTCTTGGACAGTGTGCTGCTTCACGGCGATGCTGTGAAGAGCAAACTGACAAGAGGGCTGTACCCAGGGCAGTTTTTGCCCAGGGATAAATGATACCCTGATTTCTCATTTATTAAATTGCAGCCTGTGTTGTGTACATTGTTTCACAGGGAGATGTTTACCCTAATGAAAAGCTAAAATGTTTTCTCTCCTTGCAACATAAAAAGCCCAGGAGTGAGTATTGTCACCAGAGATAATGTTACAGCCTTAGCAAGATGACACTTAAAAACTTCGTCAGCTTCCAAGAATTTCGGAATAGCGATGAATGAAGGTAGCAAGTGTTAAGAGCAGGCAGTGCTTGCAAGAAGTGCCCTCACAACCGGTGTTTTCAAGAGCTTTTTTCTGTTCCCAGTTACCATTAGAGCTGCACAGCTGGGACCATTTTTGAATAATTATACTTACCAGTTAAAAACCCTCACATGCTAAAATAAATTTTAGCTAAGATGGCTTTGTGCTTTGCAGCCTCATATGACACTCCATCTTTCTCATGTGACTGTTGTAACAAGTCAAATTCATGTCTTTTGATACCCGACACATGATAAAGATACTTGGATCACTTAAGCCTGTACAAAACTGCAATGCTCGCATGTCATTTATCTTAAAATCCTATTGTAGCTCTCGTGAAATGTAATTTTTTCAGTGAATGAAAATTTATACTGGCAGAGGTGTTATAAAACATGGAAGATGCTCAGGGAAGGGGACCCAGCACTTCCTTTATCTCTTCAAGTGTTCAGTAACAGGAATTTATTTTTCTGCTTGGCGTTGGTTTGTTGCAGGTTACAGAGCTTTGGTGCAACCAAAGGGACCCATTTCCAGTTGTCTTAACCAAAATTGCAATAACTGCAACGGGTGAGACATGTGCTTGTGGCCCCGAGACGACAAACTGGTTCACAGGCTGCAGTTTCCATATCAGTTCCTAAAGCTGCTTCTAGGAAATCACCCAGCCTAAAGAACCTCCTGGGATCCCAGCTTCTACATTCCCATTTCAAAATGCATGGGTAAGAGAAAACTATTTATATTCATAACCTTAAGTAAATAAATTGTCACTTTAACTACACGTTTTATTGTAATTAAGTGCTTCTCAGTAATAAGCAACCCACACTATGAAGGAGTTTCCTAATATAACAGTAAGCTAAGTTCCCAGTTGTGAGCAGAATTAGGAAGCTTTTAAAAGCACAGACCACGTTGCACAGTTCTCAACATGTGGAGGAAACGCAGTTTTGCTAGAGAACTTTATCCTTATTTCCATTGCTGTGGTCAGCACCTCACCTGCAGGATTTCCCACTAGGATTTATACTCAGCATTAGCCTGACTCTGCTTCTGATGGTTTTGCCTTACTCTTAACAGGAACAGACCTGAGGCAGATTTAACAGACCTTCCCCAGCTTTCTAAGGACTCACTGCTGTCACCTCTCCATAATGCAGCTACAATTAACTTTGCTGGGATGTCTATATTTGAAGCAGCTTTAAATTAGAGCCTGAATTTACAGACGTGGATGCAGATGGTCTTTGCTACTGTCTGCATGAGCCCTTGGTTTTTGCACTAAGAAAGCCCACCCACGTTAACAAATTTGCCCTTTGCGGTCTGGCTTCAGTGCAGCCGGTAAAAATAGCGAATGATACGACAGACAGAATGGGCCCCAAACTATATTTTTTGATCGCTTTTCTTAGCTCTAGACTAAAGAGCAAGGCATCCGATGTTGACAGATTAAAGGGGAATATACCAAGCAAAGGGATCTGCTACCAAGATGCCCATAAACCGGCAGTTCTGCCATCCTCCAGAATGTGAATTCTTCCTTTGGTTCTTAGTTGTATTTTGATCAAAGTGTAAATACCAGCAACTGGCACATGTCAGACAGTGTCAGAGCCGCGTACCAAAGCTTTCTTCAGGTTCAATCTTTAGCGCTGCTTTACTCATTTTGTTAGGGCTTTTGGGACATAGCTCATTATTTTTACCACTGTAACCAGCAGAGTGGCCGTATCATCATTTCCCCTTAAATCCAGGAGAATAAGTCTGGCCTATTGGGCAGGGAAACTTAATTGTGAGAAGCCTCTGGAGGGCGGTTGGCACTGGATGGTAGCTGTACTATTAGCATGTTGCTGCCCCTGTAAAGAAGAATCCAAGCTCTAATGCATACCTGCAAGTCCCGCCAGCTCGACGGGTATCAAAGCACGCCCACACTTGAGCTGGAGACTCCTCTGCTCAGACAAGGAGGATTACGGACATCATATGACTAATTCTGCAATGACGGTGTATGCTTAATTGGTAAAGGACTGCATTTTCTATCTTTTTTTAACCCAGGACATAGCGTCAAAGGTCTGCCTGATGTTCGAGGTTCATTTCAGGTATTTTCTTCATTGAGATTCACTGTACCTAAGGTTACTGTGACCTCTGGCTTTGTCTTGTGCTCTTCAGCACTATAAGAAGCCAGTATTCAAATTCCCCTGAAACATAAGGCTGTGCTGCTCTTGCAGCTCACAAAGAGCCTTCTCTGAACCTCGGGTACAAAAGCTTTGGCTGTTTCAGGAGCCAGTGGACAGGAGTCACAAAAAGCATGATATTTATGTAAGTGGACTGCGGTACCAAACTTTAGACATTCATTCTAATGTCCTGCTTTCAAGATCTCTGCCTCAGTTTCCCTGTAAAATGCAAACACAGCATTGGTGATGTTTAGCTTATTAAAAGAAACAAATACCTCTCTAATTTCTAAGAGTGTGTGTTGCAGGGAGTTGAAGTCAACGCATCTTAAATACAGTGGGAGATGTTTTTACCAACCATTCAAACAGATTACCAAGAGCCACAGCAGCAAAATCCCTTCTGCTTGAAATGTTAAGACTGCCTGGGTGCCTGTCAGGAAAATGTGCTCCAGAATTGGGGGTAGTAACACCGGAATCACTTCTTGGTGCCAATGCTAGTGACTGTGACAGCATCCAGTAATGGCAACCTATTAATGTTTTGCTCTGTGCCCATAAAGCAGCTCTGCCCTCCTTCCTTCAAAAGCTGAAGGTAGATAAATATGGGTCCCATCATCTGATCATTTTGCTTGCATAGAAGTTACCTACAGAGCCTCTACATGAGATGGACAAGCAGAAGGGCAAGAGAAACTCTTCCCATCCTTGGTGTAAGGCTAGCCAGTGCACAGTGCTGCAACCTTGGGGCTCAGGAGCTGTTGAGTAGCCCTGGTTGTTCCACTTTTCTGTGCACAACAGCCGACATTGCTGATACCAGCTGGGGGTGGCAGGGGAAGGGCAAGGTGTTAAATCTCTGTGCTGGAGTGTGTTTGGACCAGGCTAGGGCAGCCTTAAGTGCTGCACTCTTTTGGGTGGCTGCCAGCATATCCCGTGGGGTTTTGCCGCACCTAAAAAAGAGCCTGGGAATACAACAGAACCCTTGAATCTGCAAGAGTGAGAACAGCGTGTTCAGTTACTGCCCTTAAACTGTTCCCTAGCCCCATCCATTTAAGTTACCATCATCTATAAAACAGTCCAATAGGTATTTACCCACACTGTCTTCAGCTGTTGATGTTTTACCTGAAAATGCAATGCAGGTGTTTTAAAGTGCATATGGTGGCTACAGCAGCCTAGAGCAGAGGCGTGTCATCTCTCCAGCTCCTTCACGTCCCTCCCCAGGTGTTCCCTGGGCAGAACATCTTTCAAATTCCAGTATTCTGTTTAAAAACCTAGACTTGGGGTTTTTAAACGGGTTGCAATTAAGCTTTAACAATGGGAGGGTTCATATGGAGGTGCTGTGCCCCTCTTTGAAATGGCTTTGCCTAAGAAAAGCATCTGTGTCCCTCCTGCAGCCAGCCAGAACACACTGCAGGCTTTACTTCCACTACTCTTACCTGTGGCCTCGTGCCTCCCGACACACTCAAGACATGTATGGAAGGGCTAACAAAATATGTCCTGGAGTGTTTGGTGTATTTTTAGAGTTTAACCCAGATTATTGGCCTTTGTCCCATATTTCAGTGGTTAGGGTGTAAGCATGCCCAGTGAGGCCAAGTGCTTCCTGCATTGCTTTCAGGAAGGCTTTAATCACAAAAAGTACCCTCTCAGAGAAGGCAAATAATTAAGCTTTTGTGGCAAATACTCTACTGCCAGTAGCAGGAGGTGGTAAACACTCAACACTACAGTATAAATAGAGCAAGGCAGATGCACTAAGCTTTAAAGTGCAACGTTATTGTGTTACATGGTACTGAGGAATGAACTGGACATCACTAGCAAGGTAGTTTTCCTTTTGTCTTTATTGGAACCGGAGTTTGTTTTTACATCTTAAAGTATCTGTCCTTGCTGCTCATCAGGGGAAATGCTGGTGTAAACAGCCTGGATGAAACTCTTCCCACACTGTGGCAGCTGGCAGTGTGCAAGTGGGGCTATACAGGTGCCATCCAGCCTATCCTCACTTCGGCAGCACCGTTCAACCTAGCTCTTCCTGCAGTGCTGGGTACTGCACAGTGTTCCATACTCTTAGGGTATCATGAGCTTTGCCTGCAGAATATCTTCCCTCTTGTGTAACCTCAGCCTGACCTGCTGCGGTTTGGTCCTTGGTGAGCATGTTGGGGAGGGATTGCTCCTTTTCTCTCTGCTCCAGCTTTTTCCCCATAGAAGATTGTCTCTTTTCAGCCTGCCAAACCCAAAACAGGTGAATTTATTTGTCCCTCATATTTCTGGCAGCACAGCATGACTCTCGCTCCATCCCTTGGGTTGCTTAGCCATATCTCAGGGGCTAAATTCAGTTGCTGAAGTCCTAGATTTCCCATGCTGCCATCTCTGGCATGCGCTCCTCAGTTCTGAGGGACGTCTCTAGGTTCAGCCCTCCAGTTGCACCGCAGGTCTTTGGGATCATCAGGGGCTCCCTGACAGACTCATCCAAGCAATTTCTGGCTTTTGTGGGCTTCCACCTTGGTATTACCTTTTTACCTTCCTATCAACTGCTTACTGCCCAGCTGCCCTAATACCCTTTCTGAGACTGTTTCCTTAGCTTTATAGCATAGGACATACCACATGTCCTAAAAAGTACAAAATATAGAAACTATTCTGTTAAGAACCCAGCCACTGGTTCATCAATTTTGTAGAGAGGCAGGAGTGACATATTGCCAATACAGATGCAGGTAAAATCTTGCTGCGCTCAGTCACACTTGTGCTTCCCAGCTCTCCCCAGCATTCAACTGTTGGACATTTTGGCATATTATCAGTGATAAATGTGTTCACAAGTGAGGGCAGCCAGCCCTACAGGCTGTGATGCCAGGGTATTGTGGGTTCCTGGCATGGGCAGAACGAGACAGAGATATTTTTGTAGTCAGCCTCAAGTTTTTATCTATTTATAGGTATCTTGGTGACCCCTAAATTGGGATTAGGTCCTTTGGCAGGAAGACTGCGCTGCATTTCCTGGCCCCTTAGCCTTTCAACACTCTCTTGCTCTCAAAAGCCACTGATCTTGTCCTTTTATTTTTGCCACCAAATGACACTCCTTCGGGCTCAAAAGCAAGAACAGGCAGGAGGAAAATTATCAATAATCCATCAAGCAACCAGTCTCATTTTTAGTCCCATTTTTTGTGGCCTGTGGACGCTGTGGGGTGGTACACAGACCCTTAATTATTCAGCTGCAATAGTTTAAATGATTGCAAGTGGCTACACCAGGTTTGAAAATAATTCAGTAATAATGGAGGGAGAAAATTTTTTTTAAAACAAGGGTGGCATAGGACAAGGATGAAAAGGGTGCAGGACCCTTGTGGCAGAAGTACTGGTTGGGAGTATTCTTGTGGCCTGGGTTTCAGCTCAATCTTCTGCAGGGTCTCCGATAGGCTTTGCTTTACTTAAGAGATAAGTCCTGATCAGAATGGGAGCAGCAGGCTTTATACACAGAAGTAATTAAAATGTTTCACTCCCTGGCAGGGGAGTTAAAATCAATTTCTCAAATACAAGATGAGAAGCAACCGGCCAGGCTGCTGCCATGGGGAAAAAAAGATCCGGGGCTGTGATGCTTGGGAGTACAGCAGAAATGCAGTCCTGCAAAAATCCAGCAGTCCTCCTGGGATGCCTGTTCAGAGGGGCATGCTGCAGAAGGCACGGGACAATCTTTCCATTAAACTTGGCAATGGTGGCGTCTTGGCTCAAGAACAATTTCCACACTTCAGGAAAGATATGGGTCAGCAGGGAAAAAGCCCAAAGAGGTGCAAAAAGAATGATTTGAGTTGTAGAAAACCTGCCTTTGAGGAAAGGCTGAGAAAGAGAGAAGTGTGTGGTCTGAAGAGGGGACCAAGCTGAGACAAAGCAAGTTGCCTAATACATACAAGGCTGAAGCAAAGAGGAATAGCATGGTGTGTCCTTGTACCTTCTGCAAGTAGGGCAAGTAATGGCCTTTAGCTCCATCAGAAAAGATGTAGGTAAAAGATCAGGAAAAACTTTCCAATGCTACGGATAGTTAAGCACAGGGGTATTCCCACAGGCTGTTGTGGAATTGTCAGTGCAGGAAGGTGTTGGACAAAGATCTTGCAAGGATGGTTGAGGTATTGTTGATTGTACTGGGAGCCTCTTAGAAGTCTTTATCAAACTAATTCCTCCAGTTGCCACTAAAATCATTGCAATTCAGCACTTCAGCATTTGGGAAGACCTGCTACAATAGCAATCCCCTGTTTGCAATCTAGTGGATTGCAAGGGCAATCACGTGCATATCTAGCTCCTAGGATTGTAGGGGTGCCAGAACAAGCTAAGAAATAAATTTGCTGTAACCGTAGAAGGTGGTTACTCTAGAGCATTAGAAGTCCAGTCTTTCTTTGACAAAAAGTGCTGCACATGGACTTTTCCATGTAAAATAATGCAGGGAAATCTCAGTTACATTTAGTGTTAGAGAGGCACAAAGAAAATTTCATTAGAACCCACCAACGATGGTCTGTTATAAAGGGAGCAGGAGCAATTTTTGAGTTCTCAGAAAACAGAATGCATCTCTATTCTGCCCTGTCCTCATTGTCTGCTTCTGTACTGTAGGACATAGATTCCTTCAGAGAAGGATCTGTGCCTTCTTGCTCAGTTAGCTCTTAACACATCACGTTTTATTTGCTAGGAGACTTGAATAATGAGCAGCAAACACTCTTGTTCCTACTTTAAACTCATGGAAACTACAGTACAGAGAAATAAAATGACTTGCGCAGGGTCACAGAGCAATTTTGTGGCAGGGCTAGGACCAGAACCCAGCTCCCTTGCTCCCAAACCCATGTGCCAGTCTTCGGCTCTTCATTGACCCGTAATTTTAATCACCTTCCAAGGAAGTCTCATTGGCCTCTTCCAGTTGACTTCCATGGTTAATAATGCCAGGTATCAAATGAAGTCACTGGGAATATCAATACAAAATAAGTCAGTATTAGATGCAAAGAAAGAACTGATGGAAGGGAAAAAATAGATTTTAGAGAAAAAGG